ATATAGAATAGAAAAAGAATAGAAAATGCGAGTGTTGGAGGGTAATTTTTTATAATAAATAGAAATAAAACAAGATAGAATAGAAAAAGAATAGAAAATGCTAGTGTTAAAGAGTCATTTTTTAATAATAAATAAAAATAAAACAAGAATATAGAATAGAAAAAGAATAGAAAATGCGAGTGTTGGAGGGTCATTTTTTTAAATAAATAAAAATAAAACATGTCTAAAGAATAGAAAAAGAATAGAAAATGCTAGTGTTAGAGGGTCATTTAAAAAAATAAAAAATAAAACAAGATAGAATAGAAAAAGAATAGAGTGCAAGTGTTAGAGGGTCAAGAGTTTGTTTTCTTAGAATAGAGAGTGCTAGAGTTAGAAGGTCAAATACATTTCAAATAATGAAAACATAAAATTAAATGACATGAACGCTAGTGTTAGAGGGTCATCTTTTAAAAGTAATAAATAAAAATAAAACAAGATAGAATAGAAAAAGAATAGAAAATGCTAGTGTTAAAGAGTCATTTTTTAATAATAAATAAAAATAAAACAAGAATATAGAATAGAAAAAGAATAGAAAATGCGAGTGTTAGAGGGTAATTTTTTTAAATAAATAAAAATAAAACATGTCTAAAGAATAGAAAAAGAATAGAAAATGCTAGTGTTAGAGGGTCATTTAAAAAAATAAAAAATAAAACAAGATAGAATAGAAAAAGAATAGAGTGCAAGTGTTAGAGGGTCAAGAGTTTGTTTTCTTAGAATAGAGAGTGCTAGAGTTAGAAGGTCAAATACATTTCAAATAATGAAAACATAAAATTAAATGACAAAATACACAAAATAAAAATCGATCACTTTTATTGGCTGGAAAAAGTAAAAAAGTTACGTGACCTTCTGCCATCAGGAAGAAAACCCTTATTTTTGAGCCCTGATTTAGTTTCAATATGAACTTTTATCACATCTCAATTAAAGATTATTTATAGCTTGCAAATGTCCAGAATGATGTGAATAATTCATCATCATTATCAATCACTAATAACACGGTAACTTAATACATGTAGAATTATAAAACAAGACACAGATTATGGGTTTTGAAAGGCTTATGTATGAAACAACAGCACACATCAATCATAACTCTAAAAATCTAAAAATGACACATGTTCATGTCACTAATTACACTGAAATATGATCTAGTTCTGCTCAAAAACACACAAAGAGTAACCGAGTAACCTACAGGACAGGCAGAAATCAAGCTATAAATGTAGAGTAGTGCTGCAATAATGATTTAGACAGAATACTATAGTAATGTTGTGGTTGTTTTGCATGTAGCATGGTATTAATTATGTGGTAAACAAGATTTCATCACAGTATTATCCATCACTGAACCACTGTAAAATACTTTTGTAAGGTAAAATAATACATTATTATTATTATAAAATTTAATACATTAATTAAAATACACCACGTCCAGTGTCTGGAAGCATAAAAGCACTTCTTCTTCTAAACTGTGTCTGTTATGTAAGTATTTGCAGCTTTGTACGTGTTTGTTGTTGTTGTTG